CGAGCCTTTCTTCCCGGGCCCAGGCGGGCCGTGCGAGCCACGCCGCGGCCGACCCCATCCTGGCCCGACCTCCTGGGTCCGCGATCAGTTCCCACACGCGCCATCCGAACACGGCGGCGTTGGCGAGCTCCCCACTCCCCGGCCAGGGGGGTCCTCTTCTGCGTTCATTTTTTAATCCACCGCCGAGTGTTTCTCTGCGCGTTTTTAATCTCTATTTATTTCTGTTTCGCATCCCTAAGTGACTTTCTCTGAGAGGTTCTGTTTGCTTGGTTAAAAAAAAAAAAGTCAACGCTGGACTGTACTTTTGTTTTCAAAAGTTTTAAGCATGGCCTTTGCTTGGTTTTTATTTTTAAAACCCAGAGAAATATGTCGTTATAGATTGCTTTTTTAAAACCAAATCTGTGAGCATAAAATTAAATTTTAACTGTATTTTTCGATACAGAAAGAAGTACTACAGGAGGTATATTTCTCTGGAATTTAGAATACCTACATGCAACATTACTCTTTGGGAGATTTTTAAAAGTCGATCCAAAATGGCGCGTTTCTCGGGTAGTTTTTCAAAATCCATTTACAGGAGTGTTGCTTGGGGAATTCAAGCTATCTGACTACAGTGTTGTATTTCCCTGGGATTTAAAAATTACCTCAGAAGGACATGACTGAGCAGGGGTTAAAAAGCTATCTACAACAGCACATTGATTTGTAAACCCCAGAGGAGTACGTGCCTGTGCCTCCTGGAGTTTGTACGCGCACAGCCCTGCATTCAGTTCGGGGTGTGTTTGTGGCTTCTTGCTTTACATCTGCTCTGTGTTCCTACCTGACTATTTTTAAGAGTTTCTGACCCTTTCTGTGCGTGTAGGCTTAGAGCTGTGAACTTTTTTAGGCTTCTGTGTTTTGCTTCTAAGTTCTTTTTTTATGTTTCAGTGTTTCTATGACTGCGTGTGTTTTGTAGCTACAAGGGAGAGAGGCTAGAGCGCCAGGTCACCTAGACAGTCTGTCAGTCTGGGCTGCCCGGGCTGCGGCGGGGCCTCCGGACGTGAGGACGTGAGGCCTGGAGCTGAGGCCGAGAACAAGACTGTGTCGGCCTGCCCGGAGGGGCTCCGGGGCAGCCCTGGGGAGAAGAAAGTGGAGGGCTGCAGGCCATACCACCTAGTTCATGCTCCACTGACCAGCTAGCTTCAGGCTAGAAAAATTAGATCCTAGCTCAGAAAAGCAGAGACCTCCCTTAAATTCAGACCGACTCTTAAAAGTCAATTGCCGCTGACATTAGCAGCTGGGCTCAAGCCTAAACCAAGCGAGAAGAGCAGGCCCTGCCCTGCCAGGAGCCTAGGCCCGCGGCTCGGCTCCTCTACTCCAGGCACCCAGACCAGAGGTGACTACCGACGACCAGGCACGACGGGCTCCCCCCAAATGGGGACGATATCAGGGCCCCTGGCGGGAGGGAGGGCCGCCAGCGCCGATGGCGGGTTCTTCGGTGGAGCCGGGACGGGTACAAAAGGGCAGAAGCCCAAGGTGACGGGCGTCCCGTCCTGCCTGCTTCAGAGAAGGAGCGCAGCGGGGAGCCCAAGGGGCCTGAGGACAGCGGTGCTGGCGGCGCGGGCTGCGGAGGCGCGGAGGACCCCGCCAAGAAAAAGAAACAGCGGCGGCAACGCACGCACTTCACCAGCCAGCAGCTGCAACGGGTTCTTCTGGAGCCGGGACGGGTACAAAAGGGCAGAAGCCCAAGGTGACGGGCGTCCCGTCCTGCCTGCTTCAGAGAAGGAGCGCAGCGGGGAGCCCAAGGGGCCTGAGGACAGCGGTGCTGGCGGCGCGGGCTGCGCGGA